GAGATCAAGGGTATTCAAATTAAAAAGGAAGAAGTCTAACTGTCAATATTGGTAGATTATATGATAGTTTAAATAATTGACATGAAAAACTCTACCAGGGAGCTCCTGCAGCTGGTAAACACATTCAACAAATTAGCAGGATACAAGATTAACTCAAAAAATTCAGTATACAGACAAATAAGGGACGGAGAAAGAAATCAGAAAAACATCACAATTTACAATAGCCACAAACAACATTAAATATCTTGGCATAACAGTAAACAAACAAGTGAAAGTCCTATATAATAAGAACTTTGATTCTTTAAAGAAAGAAATTAAAGAAGATACCAGAAAATGGAAAGATCTCCCATGCTCTTGGATAGGTAGGATATACATAGTAAAAATGGCAATCTTGCCTAAAGCAATCTACAGAATTAATGCAATCCCCATCAAAATCCCAGCACAATTCTTCACTGACCTTGAAAGAAAAATACTCAACTTTATATGAAGAAACAAAAGACCTGGGGTAGCCAAAACAACACTGTACAATAAAGGAACTTCCAGAGGCATCTCTGGCTTCAAGCTCTACTATAGAGCTGTAGTCCTGAAAACATGTTGGTATTGTCACAAAAATAGACAGGAGGTCCAATGGAATCAAATTGAAAAATCCTGATATTAAAGGTGATTTTTGACAAAGAAGTTAAAATTGGTAAATGGAGAAAATAAAGCATTTTCAACAAATGGTGCTGGCATCACTGGATGCTAACTTGTAGAAGACTGCAGATTGATCTCTATCTATGGCCATGCACAAAACGTAAGTCCAAATGGATCAAAGGCCTCAACATTAATATAGCCCATTGAATCTCTTAGAAGAAAAAGTGGGAAATACCCTTGAACGAATTGCTATAGGAGACTGCTTTCTGAACTTAACACCAGTAGCAGTAGCACAGATAGTAAATTCAGCCTCCTGAAGTTGAAAAGCTTCTTTAAGGTAAAGGATATAGTCAACACAACAAAATGGCAGCCCATGGAATGGGAAAATATATTCACCAACTCCACATCTTTCAGAGTGTTGATTTCCAAAATATACAAAAAACCCAAGAATCTAGTTTCCAAAACACCAAATAATCCAGTTAAACAGTGGAGTACAGACCTAAATAGAAAGTTATCAATAGAAGAATTTATAATGGCTGAAAGACACCAAAGAAAGTCCTCAACATCCTTAGCCTTCAGGGAAATGCAAATGAAAACATCTCTGAGATAGCATCTTACTCCAGTCAGAATAGCTAAAATCATAAACACCAAAGAATGTTTACCCTGGAAAGGATGTGGAGAAAGGTGCACACACCACCACTGCCTATGGGACTGCAAATTTGAAAGACTACTTTGGGAATCAATATGGTGTTTCCTCAGGAAAATGGGAATCAGTCTACCTCAAGATCCAGTAATTTTACTCTTAAGCATATACAGAAAAGTTGTACATTCATATACAAGGACATCTGTTCAACCATGTTCATAGCAGTATTATTTGTAATAGCCAGAACCTGGAAGCAACCTAAATACCCCTCAACTGAAGAATGGATAAACAAAATGTGGTCTATTTACACAATGGAGTAATACTTAGTGGGGGGGGGGCAATGAAATCTCGAAATTCACAGGCAAATTGATGGAACTAGAAGTAACCTTCCTGAGTGAGGTAACACAGTCACAAAAAGACAAACACTACATATAGTCACTCATACATGGTGTTTAGATATAGAGCGAAATATTATCAGCCTACAATCCACACCACAAGAATAGCTAGGAAACAAGTAAGACCCTAAGAGAGATGTCCATGATCCCTTGGGGAAGGCAAATGGGACAAGATCTCCCATGCAAATTGGGAGCATGAGAGGAGGGGAGAGTCATGAAGAAGAGAAAGGGAGAGATGGGTAGGCAGATCAAAAAGATTATAACGGAAAGAATAGAGGAGAGGAAAAAAGAGACACCATAAAAAAGGGAGCCATTATAGGTTTCAAGAGAAATCTTGAACTAGTGAAATGTCCAGAGATCCACATGGATGACCCCAACTAACAATCTAAGCAATAGTGGAGAGGCTACCTTAAATGCCCTTCTCCAATAATGAGATTGATGACTTGTAGTGAGATAGTCTCTAGAACCTTCATCTAGTAGCTGATGGAAGCAGAAACAGACACCCACAGCTAAACACTGAGCCAAACTCTTGGAATCCAGTTGCGGACAAAGAGGAGTGATGAGCAAAGGGGTCAAGTCTAGGCTAGAGAATCCCCACAGAACCTGGTGACCTGAACAAGGGGGATATCAGGGTCTTTAGTCTGATAGCTGGGGAACCAGCATAGAATCTTCCCAGATTCCCTGAATGTGGTGTTATTTGGGAGGACTGGGTAGTGTATGGGACCTCTGTTGGTTATTAGCATTTATCCCTAGTATATGAATGGACTATGGGAGCCCATTCCACATAGAGGGATACTCTTTCAGCCTAGACACATGGCGGAGGGCCTAGGTCATGCTCCAAATAATATAACAGACTTTGAAGACTCCATGGAAGGGCTCACCCTTCCTGGGGAGCAGAAAGAGAATGGGATGGGGGTTGATGGGTGGAACTGGGGATGATGGGAGGGAGTGGGAAATGGGATTGAAATGTAAAACATGCTTGTTTCAAATGTAAATAAAAAATATAAAAAAGCAAAAGAGCAAAATTAAACATACATGAAAACTATTTCTAAGATTTTTTGAAATATAGAATTTTCACAAGTGAAAGTAAAATAAAAAGAATCAATACTATTAAAATTTCAAAACCAATTAATAAAAGTAATGAAAATGTTATGTGCATATTAAAGCAACCAATGTGATTCCCTTGATTCCCTTGGGCTATTTAATTGCTTCCTCCACTTAATGTAGGGGCAGAAGTTATAGATAGACTCCTAGGGGAAGTCTCCAGCACTTGGCAGGTCTGTATAACTTCCTCTAGATTTGCATATGGGAGACTATGAAACACAAATATAAATCCATACTGCAATTTTGAAGGTATGAATTTTATTCCATGCTTCGTTGATCATTTTTTTTTAGTGATAATAGATAATTATAAAGTCTTCTGACCAGAGGATTAGCTAGAAGCCTCAACTACAGTGAGGAAAATTACTCAAAGGTAAATATTAGATTGGTATACTTCTGAATTGTTAACTTTGTCTTGAAATTCTCAGTGATACCTCTTATTCAGCCTTATTGCCAGAATTTGCAAAATTTGTTATAAATGTGACATTATGATGACATTATTTCTAGAGCAGAAAGAAATTAGGGTTAACTTCAACATTGATCCATGTTAATGCTCATTCTTCTGTCTTAGCTGAAGAGAACTGAGAATCTGTTAAATACAATTAGGAATGCAGGTGCTTGTAATCACATTTTGGCCAAATTTCATTGCTGACATTATATCAGACTAATCTGGGTAAATAACTTTTCTCTCTAAGATATCTGATACATACATACATACATACATACGTGTGTGTGTGTGTGTGTGTGTGTGTGTGTAATTTATGTCAATCCATGGGCAGATGTAACCACTGTAACTATTGAAAAAGTGAATATTATTTTCGGTACAGTCCAAAAACTGAGTTCTAAATTAAATAAGGTATACATACAGACATTTTCACTATAGGCAGTTTACTGATTTCCCTCATGTGATATGCAAAGCTGAGTTGAAAAAAAACTGGATGAAAGGCACAGTTTCATTATGTTTTATATTTTGAATATGTCCACCAACTGTATTTACAATATGTTCATCTGTCATAGGAGGTAATAAAATAAGCAGAAATGTAAAGCAAATAAATAATGAATAAAAGGAAATGATCCTATTTAAGTGATAAAATTGAAATGAATCAGCAAAGACTGTGTTTTAGTGATTTCTCTGAATTCATGTCATTGAGAGGAGATAATAAATGCAATTTAACTATTTAAATCAGCTATTGGCAGGTGACAAATATGAAAGAGTCAAATTATATTGAGCTCAGAAGTGAACTGGAAGATATATTTATTTGTTGTTCATTTATTAAATTCTTTAAGAATTAATTAGATTATGGGCAAAGAATTTTTCTTTTTAATTTAAATTTTTCATTCAATATATTTTGGTCATGTTTTCCTCTCCCATAGCTGTATATAATCTCTACTCAACCAATTTTATATTCTCTATCTATATCTAATCAATATCTATATTTTTATCTATATCTATCTATCTACCTACCTCTATCTTTCCCTCATAAAACCTCACAAAACAAAAACCAAACCATTCAAATGAAAAGCAATAGAAAAACAATTTAAGAAAAATCCCCAAATAAACAAAAATTTCACAAAAATCTATGGAGTTCAATTTGTGTAGACAAGATACTACTGTGCATGGTACCTGCTCTGGTGTGTGGTTGATATATCCTGGGAGATTACATTGGAGAAAAATGTTATCTTTTCCAGTGTGTGTCATTTACAGATAACTTCTTGTTTATAAGTCAGAGTGTGTGTCTACTTTCCCATCTTCATGTTAGGGACCCTTTTGGCTGGAACTTTTGCATGCTACCATAGTCTCCGTGGGTTGATATATATAAGATTTGTTGTATCTGGAAGTATCTGTTTCCTTAGAGTCATTCATCTGCTCAGGCTCTTATAATCTTCCCACATCTTCTACATAGTTCCTTCAGCCCTATGGGGAAAAGTTTGATGGAGACATTCCACTTAGGACAAGGTGCTCCAAAGTGTTTTACTCTCTGATGAGTACTGATGAATACCACTTCTAAATTACATGTATTACATTTTAGATTTAATAACATTTGAACATGTATGTAGCAAACACATTAAATTAGCATTCAAAACCCTGGCTTTAGTAAAGAATCTTTCCAAACAATTTGTTAATTCAATGAATGTCTATATCCTATGTTCATACTTCTTAATTTCCAGTTCACTATTATCATATTCCCTTTCTTTCTCATTGCCACAGAACATCAAGTGGCTGTGAGATGACAATGATGAAGAACAGGACAGAAGTGACACAGTTCATCCTCATGGGACTGACCAATGACCCTGACCTGCAGCTTCCCCTCTTCATCACCTTCCTCCTCATATACATCATAACCCTCATGGGGAACCTGGGAATGATCTTATTGATTCTCTTGGATTCTCGGCTCCATACCCCCATGTATTTTTTCCTTGGTAACTTGTCCCTCGTTGACTTTGGTTACTCTTCAGCTGTCACTCCCAAAGTCATGACTGGACTCCTAATTGGAGACAAGATCATGTCTTACAATGACTGTGCTACTCAGATGTTCTTTTTTGCAGCCTTTGCTACTGTGGAAAATTTCTTGTTGGCCTCAATGGCCTATGATCGCTATGTAGCAGTGTGCAAGCCCCTACACTATGCCAGCTCCATGAATACAAGTATGTGTGTGTATCTGATTATGGGCTGCTATGTCCTTGGTTTGTTGAATGTCTCAGTCTACACTGGGGATACATTCAATCTCTCCTTCTGTAAGTCTAATGTGGTTCATCATTTTTTCTGTGATATGCCAGCGGTCATGGCTCTCGCTTGCTCTGATAGACATGTTAATGAGCTGGTTCTTATTTGTCTAGCTAGCTTCAATATATTCTTTGCTCTCATAATAATATTAGTGTCCTATATTATGATTTTCATAATGATCTTAAAGATGAACTCAGGATCAGGGCATCACAAGGCTATATCTACTTGTGCCTCCCACTTCACTGCAGTTTCTATTTTCTATGGAACTATAATCTTCATGTATTTGCAGCCCAGCTCTAGACATGTAATGGATACTGACAAAATTGTGTCTGTGTTCTACACCATGGTCATCCCTATGCTGAACCCTCTAGTTTACAGCCTGAGAAACAAAGAGGTCAAGCGGGCATTCAGAAAAATGATTCTAAAGGAAAAATAATCATTATGATTATAATATTAAATAGTTTGATATATAGATGATTAAAATTCATTTTTATCAGATCTTCTGTATGTACTTGATTGTGTTTTAATCATAAGAGTTCAAGTTCTGACTTCTTATTCATGCCTCTGCATAACATTTTTTTTGGGACTCAAAGAACATTATATTTATAAGCATAATGTATCAATAGGAATATTTTTGGTTTTTGAATTAGATATGTCAAAAACATTTTTGCCATTATTAATAATTTCAATTATTTCTTATCACTTTCTTCTTCTGCTGTATCATGATAGTTAATCTTTATTGTCAATTTTACTAGAGTTTTAATCTCCATTGAAATATACTTCTAGAGATGCCCAGTAGGGTGTTTCTATGTTTGCTGTATTTTATTGCAGCAGCCATAAGAATAATGAAAGTTTATTATGGGGTATATGTTGGGAGAATTTATTGTTAAAAGTTCTATTCCCAAAATTGTCTTTACTTGAACACTTTTCCTTGCTAACTTAATTTCTATATTTTTTGAAATTAGTTTTGTATATATTCAGAAATATACATGCAGATATGCACATGCACACACACAAGCACATGCACACTCGTGCACACACACACACACACACACACACACACACACACACACACACACACTCCACACTTAGGAATTTATGCTTTTTTCTGTTATCTATCATGATGCTCCTCAGGTTGTTTAGAATATTCTGCTATAGGGCCATCTGTATTTCTGGACTCAAAATTACAAATTTCAGATCATTTGATAGATTACTTCATAGAGCAAGCCAAAATGAAAAATATATTGACTATATAACCTTCAGAGATCATATAGGTATTATTAAACTTCTTGTGTAAGAAAGACCAATTTTAACAATTTATCAAATATTTTTAAAGGGCTGTGCCACGATGTCCCATACTATTGTTTTTCTAGAAATTCATTGAGATAGAAGACCTTTTAATATTCCTTGAACTGACTTTATGCAATCTGTCACTACATGCCCTACCTCTAAGTCTACAGAAGTTTTTACATCTAGATTACAAGGTTCATTTAGCAAAATGTTATAATGCACTGGACTTGTATATAATTTTGTGCATAGGGAGAATGGTTAATTTCCTGAGACATAATCACCCATGTGTAAAAGCTGACACTGTAGCTAAATAGGACATTGTGGGAGCATTACCAGGAGAAGTCAAAATATCTTCTTTTAGTATTCATTGTCAACGATGAACAAAATCATTTGCTATCAATATATCTGTGAACCAAGTACCAGAATGAGTATTAATTAATAAAATGATGAAACCATAGCTCACATAGTAGCTTTAATTTGAGTCAACTGCTAATTAAATTAAGCTTAATAATTCTCTGTTAAATTCCAACATCCACTTTTTTTTTTCCTGCAGAGAGCAAGAGAATGAGCTAAAATAGTACATAGTAAGGTTAAATATCCAATCATCTTTCAAAATCTAAAGAGTAGCACAATTTCTACAATCTTCTCATAATATTATATTGTTTTTGGTTTGCTGTTTATCAGATGTTTATCAGTGGCAGTTCTAGTGTCTTCTCCTTGTCCTTTACCACAATTTTTTAATAGCTTTGGAAGGGTCATGTAAACAAGTCAAAAATGCCATTTGCAGAGGTGAACTGTTTCAAATATGTACTCTGGATTTCATGAAATAATTATTAGATTGGTTGGTGATTAGGTGGATTCATCAGGAGGCAAGCCTAGGACAAGTCTGTGTCTATCACTTGGCCTCTATAAAAGCCTACATTTAACTGGTGTAGCACAATGGAAATCTTATTTTAAAATTAGTCTCAGTTGAGAGAAATGACTGGTAGTATCTCCAAATTTTTTTTTATCTGTTTTATTTACTTCAAAGTTACCCTCATAAATGATCATAAAAATCCTTGCAATGTTTCTAACAATGATTTAGAAAAAAAGTTAGATAGTGAATTTGAGTCTTTTAAAATTAATTTTTATTTAAATTGCAAACAATTTTATTGTACATACCAATCTTAGTTCCTACTCCCAACCATCCTCCCATTCCCTCCACCAATCCCTTAACACTCCCCCCATCCACTCCTCAGGAAGGATGAAGCCTCCCATAGGTGATCATCAAAGTCTATTACATCATTTGGGACAGGGCCAAGACCCTCCCACATGTATCTAGCCTGAGAGAATATCCCTTGATAGGGTATGGGATCCCAGAGCCCATTTGGGCACTAAGGATGAATGCTGGTTCAACTGATACAGGCCCCAGATATTGTTCTAACCACCCCCAACTCACACCCAGTTTTAGCTGGCCTGGTTTGGTGTTATGCTGGTTTCCCAGCTAGACTTAGGGTTCATGAGCTTCTACTTGTTCAGGTCAGGTGTTTTGGTCGGTTTCCCCAGCAAGGTCTTGATCCCTTTGCTCATCATTCTTCCTTCTCTACAATTGGATTCCAAGAGTTCAGCTTGGAGCTTAGCTGTGGATCTCTGCTTTGGCTTCAATCGGTTACTGGATGAAGGCAATAGGATGGCGTTTAAGGTTGTCATCAATTTCATTATGGGCAAAGGGAATTCAAGGTAGCCTCCCCATTGCTGCTTAGATTCTTAGTTGGGTTCCTCATTGTGGATCCCTGGAGATTTCCATAGTTCCATGTTTCTTGTTAAGCCCATAATGGCTCCATCTATTAAGGTATCACTTCCCTTGCTGTCTTTCTCTGTTCTTTCTGCAACTCAACCTTCCTTATTCCTCAAGTTCTTCTCCTCCCTCCTCTTTCTCTTACCTCTTTCCCCCATCCCCTATGCTCCCAATTTACTCAGGATGTCTTGCCCCTTTATCTTTTCCTCCTTGTTCCCTAGCTTCTCTGGGGTTGCAGATTATAGGATTTGTTCTATGTGTAATACCTATTATGAGAGTACATACCATGCTTTTCTTTCTGTGTCTGGGTTACCTCACTGAGGATGGTTTATTCTAGGTCCATATATTTCCTGAATATTTGAAGATTTCATTTTTTTCCCCAGTGAATAGTACTGCATCGTGTAAATGTATCACATTTTCTTTATTCATTCTTCAATTGAGGGATATCTAGGATGCTTACAGATTCTGGATATTGCAAATAATGCTGCTATCAACATAGTTGAATAGATGTGCTTGTGGTATAAATGTGCTTTCTTTGGGTATATGCCTAAGAGTGGAATTGCTGGATCATGAGGTAGACTGATTTCCATTTTCTTGAGACATCACCATACTGATCCCAAAGTGGCTGTACAAATTTAATTCAAGAGAAAGTGGGGAGTATACTTGAACAAAATAACACAAAGTAACAGAAGACCACTTTCTGAACAAAACAATAGTAGCACAGATACTGAGATGGACAATTAATAAATGAGATCCCCTGAAACCAAGAAGCTTCTGTAAGGTAAAGGACACAGTCAGTAGGACAAAATGACATCCCTCAGAATGGGAAAAGATCTTCACCAACCTCACCTCTGACAGAGGGTTGATATCTAAAATATACAAAGAAATCAAGAAACTAATCACCAAAACACCAAATAATTCAATTAAAAAATGGGGTCAAATATAAATATAGATTTCTCAATATGGAGAATCTCAAATGGCCAAAAAGCACTGAAGAAACTGGTCAACATCCTTAGCTATCAGGGAAATGCAAAGCAAAACAACTTTGAGATACCATCTTGCTCCTGTCAGAATGGCTAAAATTAAAAAAAAAAAAACTCCAATGACAGTTTATGCTAGATAGTATGTGGAGAAAGGGGAACGCTCTTCCATTGGAGGTGGGAATGCAAACTTGAGCAGCCACTTTGGAAATCCGTATAGTGGTTTACAGGGGAAATGGAATCAGTCTACCTCAAGACACAGCAATTTCACTCTTTGACATATACCCAAAGGATACACATCCATACCACTAGGACATCTGTTTAACTTTGTTCAAAGAAACATTATTTGTAACAGCCAGAACCTGAAAACAACCTATATGCCCCCCAACTGAAGAATGGATGAATAAAATGTGGTACATTTGCACAATGGAATACTACTCAGCAATAAAAAACAAGGATATCTTGAAATTCGAAGGTAAATGGATAGAACTAGAAGAAACCATTCTGAGTGAGGTAAGCCAGACAAAAAAGACAAATATGGTATGTACTCACTAATAAGTGGAAATTAGACATAGAACAAATGATAACCAACCTACAACCCATAACCCCAGAAGTGCTAAGATACAAAATGGACCCTAAGAGAAACATACATAGACTCCCCAAGTAGGGCAAAAGGGCAAGATCTCCTGAATTTCAGAGAATGAGAGAAAAAAGAGGGAGGTAGGAGAAACAGGAAGGGAGAAGCAGAGTGAAAAGCAGAACATGAGAGATCAGGAAGGTCGAGTTGGGGAAAGAACAGAGAAGGATAGCAAGGAATGGAATACTTTTAGAGAGCCATTATAGGCTTAATGAGAAACCTGACACTAGGGAAATTTTCAGGGATATACAATGATGACTGCAACTAAGAATCTAAGTAATGGTGGAGAGGCTACCTTAAATGCCTTCCCCTATAATGAGATTGAAGACTACCTTAAATGGTATCCCAGAGGCTTCATCCAGTAGCTGATGGAAACAGAAGCAGAGATTCACAGCTAAGCACTGAGCTGATCTCCTGGAATCTAGTTGTAGAGAGGGAGGAGTGATGAGCAATGGAGTCAAGACTATGCTGACTATAATGGGGAAACCCACCAAAATAATTGACGTAAGCAAGTTGGAGCACACAGACCACAGTCTGAAAGCTGGGAAACCAGCATGACCAAACCAGGCCCACTGAATGTGAGAATCAGTTGGTGATCTTGGGCAGTCTATGGGACCTCTGGCAGTTGGAATCAGTATTTATCCCCAGTGCACAAATGTGATTTGGAGCCCATTCCCTATCAAGGGATACTCTCTCAGCCTACACACATATGGGAGGACCTTGGTCCTTCCCCAAATGATGTAACAGATGTT